GAGAGAGATAACTAATTCGGAGTGTAAAATGGTCGAATCCCCTCAATGAAGGGGTCTTCTCCTTTTTATAGTGAGATAAGCGCAAGTAATCATCATTAAATCTGTGAGTTGGTGTGAATGTCAGAATGAAATCCGACTTTATATCACATTGCCCACCTTCCAAACTGATTTCACGCGATTTGGAGCAGGGAATGGATACGTAGGATCTCCACAGCGTCTGGTAGGTCTGGCGCGCGCTTACCGTTCTGACAGGAACATGTCATACCCCATCATGTGAGTTCTCACGTCAACCTTTGATTTCCCAGGCATAAAACCAATAGACCCAATAAAGCTGCTTCAACTCCCAAGAATCTTCAATATTTTTAACAGAATGCATCGATCCAAAACCCATAACAAAATTCCCCAAATAACCAAGAAGTTTACCAAGATAACGGCAAGTTGGAGAGTTCTAACGTAGATTAGAAATTAACGTTAAGCTACGATCCATGTCTACGATTCACGCATGAATTATTTAACCTAAAAATAAGGTTTTGGTATTTCTGTAGAAGTCTTTGAATGCTGCCAAAGAATTCGTCGTGGAATGACTTGCGTTGAAGAGTTTGAATATCACCCTAACTAAAAGTCTAAAATCGTTATATAGAAGATTATAAAAACAATAATACTATACTTACAAAGAAATCTTACAAATGTTTTAATACAAAGTGAGGTGGAAAAAAAAATAAATGGATGAGTGAAACTAAAAGTCAAATTCATTATATTCACCTTTCTATTCATTTTTTACCACATTAATTTGTATAAAAATCTTTGTAAGATTTTTGTATAAGTGTAGTATCACTCTTACTAAAACTATGTAAATCCAGATACAAAAACAAGGTTTTGTGAAAAACTAAAAATACATTAAGATTACGAGGTGAAGATAATTACTAGGAGAAGAGAAGATCTTCATTAATCAATAGTGTAACGCCCCACTTGAGGTACGTAGTTGAGATTTGATGAATGGCTTGAATGTTTGTTGATTTATCCTTATTTGAGTCTGTATGTTGTTAATATTGCTTAGTTTACCCTTAGTTGAAAGGGTGTATTGGTTTGGTTGAGTGATTGCCCTGAAAATTTGTAAGTCTTGGAGAAATCTTGATGTTACAATCTTCGCCGGGGCGAAGAAGAAGCTTCGCCGCGGCGATGAAGTGCTACATCCTGTGTAGCTGCTGTGAGTTTTCGCCGCGGCGAAGACTCGGCTGAATTTTTCCCTTGAGTTTTAGAGAATTTTTCCTTTTGGGACTCAATGACCATTCTACCCCTAATTAGTAGGAAAAGTTGGAGTGAAATGCAAGGAAATTACATGGAGAATAGTTTGAATGGGGTTGTTTTTGCAAAGAATGAAAGGTCTTAAGTGGAATTTCAAAGAAGGATCAAGGGTATATTGGGAAAGAGTAGAGAAAATATGAGATTTAAGGGTTTAGCTTTAGAAACCCTTTCATTTGCTTCTTCACCACCGCCTCTTTCATCCTTCAATTCACTCAAATTTTCCTTCAATTTTTCCAAGGATCTTTGAAGAGCTTTTGACTAGATATTGATACAAGTCGATCCTAAGCACTAAAAGGTGAGAATCCTTCCTTTAGATGTAAGTTTTATTGTTGAAAGAGTAGAATCCTTATTGAGTTTGTATTGAAGGTTTAAGAGGAAGTATCAAGCCATCAAGAGTAGAGAGCTTAAGTGGTTTCTCCTTGAGCTAAAGGTAAGTAAATTCACCTAAGTTGTGATTTACTTGATTGAATGATGTGTAGAGATTTTATATATGCTTAATGCTTGAATTTCTATGTTTGAAATGAGTTAATGAATTCATGAATGAGTTCAATGTTGTTTTATGAAAGAATTTCCACCATGAGTAGGGTGGATTGTGTTGTTAAATTTTGGTAAAAGTATGGATAGAATTAGAAGAATTTGAGAGGAATATTTGTAGTGTGTTTTCTTTGCAGGATGTATGATGATTTAAAGGAGTTGCACTCCAATTTTGGATGGTTAAGAAAGAAGTATAATTAAAGTTAGAATAGAGTTTATATATGCACACATATTGTTTGATAAAATGCCTAAAAGAAGCATGAGTAGAAGTAGAGAACCTTACTTTATGCAACATAGCATATTTGCATGTCATGAATGCATATAAGAAAGATTTTAGGCATGAGCCATCCATATGCATATGTTTAATTGAGTAATCACATGAGAAAGAAATATGAGAAATGAGAAAGAAATATGAGAAGAATAGAGATAAAGAAAAGAACCAATTCTCTTAGAATAAAGAGAAAGAAAGAATTAGCACTAGAGAATTAAATGATTATTAAGTGCTATAGAAAAGAAAAGAAAAGAAAAATAGGTCGTGTGATGGGGAACCCGTGAGTGTAGAGTTACCCGCATGTAAACCGCCATGAGAGAGAGAGCGGTCTCCGCCATAAAAGAGCGGAATGAGAATGAGAAAAAGAATTTGTATAGCCACGAGAATACATGCGGGTGAGAGCTATACACAAAAGAGAGTACACTGACATGATCAAGGGTTCCGAATCCATGCATCGACCAAGACCGGCAGAGAATAAGAATAAGAGAATAATAGAAAGAAAAGAAAAGAAAGAAAATGCATTGCTATGCTATAGTGTCTCATCCATGCATGGTTATGATATTCTCCATGGGAGATGAGAATAGAAAGAAAGAAAAGAATGGTAAGAACTAGAAGTAGAGAAAGAACAAGAGAGATTGAACTAGAGAAAGTAACAAAAGTACGAACAGATTTGTACGGGGATTATAGAGTAGAAGATTTACTTACTGAGCATCTTTGTGCTCACCCCATTGTTTTCTCTGTTTTTCAGGACATAGGTGAGGATGTGGTCGGATGGACGTCGGCAAGCGGGGAGACTTGACTGCACTGTCCACTGTCTTTTTGAGAGTCTTTTGTACAAATGATGTTGTACTATGTAAAGAATGTATTTATTAAGTAAAGAAAATTTTTGGACCCAACCTTTTTGATAAATATACTTGTCTTTTTATTGGTATATTTTATGAATATGATAGTAAAAAGAAGTTGTTACAAATAGTTAGTATCAAAGGATTTTTGATTTATGATTTTAGGAATGGAAGAATGGAACTTGGAGTTGGAACATCGATGAGAAGAGAATTAGGGATTAGGAAACAATTTTTTTTTTTTTCAAATTTATACAAGTATCAGCAGGTACCCATGGGTGTACGGTGTATCCGAGCTTCCTAGCAAAAAAAGGGGCAAGGCTGGGTTTAGGCAAAAAAATACAGGTCCAATTTTATAGACATGCATACTATATTTTTTGGACAAGTACGGGTCCACCCACAGGTATGAACTCGGTTAGCTAGGTCTAATCATAAGGATGAAATAAAATTATATTAGCAGACTATAATTTTTTCAATAATGCTACGGACACTGGGATTCTACACTGAAATCTTACACCGACTTACGTGTCCCGTGACTCACACCAGACACTTTTCACGTTCAAATTTTTTTTTCTAGTGAATGATCGTTCATCAACTATGGACGGTCGTTCACTTACATGGACTCCCGTCCATATTATATAGACGGACGTCCCCATTTAAAGGATGCTCGTTCATCAGTAAATGGAATAAAAAATATAAACAAAATTAAGGGACGACCATCCCAAAAAATGGACAGGCGTCCACATATAATGGACGCCCATCCAATATTTTAATAATAAAATTTTATTAAACAAAATTAATGGACGGGTGTTCATATGGTAATGGACGCCCATCCATTAACAATGCTTAAAAAAAAAAAAAAAAAAAAATTTGGATGCCCGTCCACAAGGAATGGACGGCCGTCCCTAACGTAACGCATTTTGTCTCTTACTCTACATATATCCTTCTCTTTCACTTCAAGTAGTATTTACTTATCTTCAACATTTTGTTGCAGGAAAAGAAGCTTTCAGAAGACAACATGAAGGACTTGTCAAGTGATTTGCAGGTAAGTTAGTGCTTGCTTTTGTGTACCATGTTGTTTAGGACACTTTAGACCTGGACTGAAGTCCAGGGCACTGCCCAAATGAAGTCCGAGCTAAGCATCTTCAACATTTTGTTACAAGAAAAGAAGCTTTCAGAAGACAATGTGAAGGACTTGTCAAGTGATTTGCAGGTAAGTTAGTGCTTGCTTTTGTGTACCATGTTGATTTGCATGAGGGACCACCGTCCATTCCTTGTGGATTGGCGACCAAATTTTTTTTTTTCTAAAAGCATTGTTAATGGACGGGCGTCCATTACCATATGAACGCCTGTCCATTAATTTTGTTTAATAAAATTTTATTATTAAAATATTGGATGTGCGCCATTTATATGTGGACGCCCATCCATTTTTTGGGACGACTGTTCTCAAGTTATGGACGGCCGTCCCTTAATTTTATTTATATTTTTTATTCCATTTACTAATGAAAGGGTGTCCTTTAAATGGGGACGCTCGTTCATAGTACATGGACTCCCGTCCATATTAAGTGAACGATCGTCCATAGTTGATAAACGACCGTTCACTAGAAAAAAAAAAATTTGAACGTGAAACGTGTCTGGTGTGAGTCACGGGATACGTAAGCCGGTATAAGATTTCGATGTAGAATCCCGATGTTCGTAGCATTATAATTTTTTTTAGGATGCATTATTCATTCTTTTGTAGAGGGGTCTTTTGTCATTTCATATAATTTTCAAATCAAAAGACCAAAATGCTATTATTTTTAAACAAGTTTCCTTACTATTAATAAATCAAAATAATAAGGATGAAGATTAATTATATTCAACATTTTGGAGCATACTATATATTGAATATTAAAAATCTATATATATAAAATTTAAATTGAAGAGCAATAGAAATATCATTACGAAGACACAGAATTAGAAGGCCTATACAGAGAGAGAGAGAGAGAGCAACCAAAATTCAAAAACCGCTCCAAAAGCGGGAAAAACAGAAGCCCAGAGCCCCAAATCATAATTAAAAGTCATTAAACAAATAATAAAAAACCCATTTTCATAATTTCATTTCATTTCCCTTCACTTTCCTTTTCTCTCAATCTCTCTCCTGAAGATTCACAGAAATGCCCGAGAAGAGCAGTCGAAAACCGCAGAGCTTGAACGATCGTCACTATCGTCTTCTCCAAGACCTCGCTTCTCCCACTAAACCCTCCTTCAATCTCTCCTTTTCTGGTATACCCTACCTTTTTTTAATTTCCCTTTTTTTTTTAAGGTTTAAATTAATTCACTAATTATTTTTTTTAATAAAATTAATGTGTTGATTTCGTGTGTAGACGACGAAGAAGAAGAAGATACAAAGACTTCCCTGGTTAAACTCAAAGCTTCTTCCAAACAATCCGACGCCGTATTCGGTAACCTACTTCAAATTTTCATTGTTTTAGTTTTGAACAAATTTTTATGAAACTTGTTTTGTTTTTGGTTTATTATTTATTTATTTTTAAAATACAAAATTGAAGGCAGAAACGATGCTTGCAAAATCTTGTCTCGAGACAGTGTTCGTTCTGAGAAGAAACCAGTGCACGGTGAGGAAGCCATTTCTAGATTTTGATTTCTACTGTTACTGGATTTTATTTGTTTATTCCTATATATATTTTTATATAATTGCTTGTTCATTCAATAGTATTTGATATTTATTTGCGTATGAGACTAAAACTAGTAGCTACTTTTTTTTTTTTTTTTTTTTGAGGTTTTTAATTAATTTACCATTTATATTTTTTTAAATTAATACAATGGTTTCATTTGTAGAAGAAGAAGACGTAAAGCCATTCGTGGTTAAACAGAAAGCTTCGTCCAGACAATCTGAGGCCGTTCATGGTAATCTTCTTCAAATTTACGTGTCTTTTAGTTTTGAACAAGTTTTATGGTCCTTGTTTTCTTATTGGTTGATTATTTATTTATTTTTAAATACTAAATAGAAGGCAAAGGCATTGTTTGCAAAGTCTTATCTGGAGACAATGCTCATGCTGTGAACAAATCAGTGCACGGTGAGGATCCCATTAACAAATTTTGATCTTTGTCCTGTTACTGGATTTTATTTGTCTATTTATATATTTTATTTATTTTTATATATGATATGTGGTACTTTGCGCATGAGACAAAATCTTTTACCTACTAATTTTTTTTTTTAAAAAAAAAAATTATCTCAGGCTTAGAATTAATTAACCATTTATTAAATTAATACATTGGTTAAATTGCAGAAGAAGTGGAAGATGTAAAGCCATCTGTGGTTAAATTGAAAGCTTTGTCCAAACAATCCGACGCTGTTTATGGTAATCTACATCAAATTTACTTGTCTTTTGGTTTTGAACTAATTTCTTATGAAACTAGTTTTGTTTCTTGGATTATTTATTTGTTTCTGCTGAACACAAAACAGAAGGCAAAAGCGATGTTTTCAAAGTTTCATCCAAAGACAATGCTCATACTGTTAACAAATTAGTGCATGGTGAGGATCCCATTAACAAGTTTCGATCTTTCTTCTGTTACAGGATTTATTTTTCTATCTATATCTATATGTATAATTGATTTATTTATTTATTTTTATGTGTCTTACATGGGTTTGTTTATTGATGAACCAATGAATTCCAGAGGAAGAAAAGTCACTAAAGGTTAAAATTCAAGGTAGACGCCGTCTATGCAAAGTCTCATCTCGAGATGTTGACAGTGTTGAGGGTAGCACCGTTGTTGATGACGAACCTAAATTTTCTGATTTTGACTCAACCCCACCGGCTAAAAAAGTAAGTGAGAGTGATAATTACAAGGGTGGAAATGAAATTAGGGATATTTTAAATGATTTGAGCGCAAGGCTTGAGATTTTGTCGATTGATAGAAAGAGAGTCTCTAAAACTACTGATCGGGTGGATGAGTTGTCCAAATTGGTTAAGAATGGAGACATTATTGATGATCGAGAAGTTAATTTGCCCGAATATGCAAGTGCTGATTCATCTTTTTCCCTTACACCTGATCTTTCTGATTCCTCATCAGATGCTAGTAAGAATATTGTTGGCGGTGGTGTTGAGAGTGCGGTGGCTGATTATGAAGAGTCCAGGGGTGATAATTTTGGTGATGAGGTAGACGAAACCAAGAACATTGGTATAGGACTAAAGAAGAATGTACAGAGAAGAGAGAATGAGAGTTTGCTGTCTGCAAGACAGTCTTTTGAGTCTAATGTTGAAGAAGAAGAGGATGGTGAGTCTGAGTTTGATGATCATATAAATAGATTATACGAAACTGAGAAACATGGTCCAATACTGATGAAAAGCGAACCTAAAAGGGGGCTTCAGAGATTAAGATCTGTGGGTCGATCTTTTGTGTCTTATGGTAGAGAAGAGCATGATGACAATGATGATTGTGTAGTTGTGAGTGGAAATAAGGTGGTTAAAAGAACAGAGAGGTGTGGAGGTGAGTTGAAGGAGTCTGATCACTCTGGTGTGGTCAATGTACTGGATGATTACAGGGATGAATCTGTTTCAGAGGATGATGGTTCCATTTCTTTAAGTGGACAAAGGTCTACTTATTTGCTGCCTGGAAAGATTGCAAAAATGTTGTTTCCACATCAGCGTGAGGGGTTAAGGTGGCTTTGGTCTTTGCATTGTCAGGGTAAAGGTGGAATATTAGGGGATGACATGGGGTTGGGGAAAACAATGCAGGTAAGAAAATGTGTGCACTTTCCATTGAGATATTTTCACTGGAATTTTTACTGTGAAATTGATTGATTTTGATTAGCCTTTCTCCGCAGATATGTGGCTTTTTAGCTGGATTGTTTCACTCAAGATTGATCAATAGGGTATTGGTTGTTGCCCCAAAAACACTGCTTCCTCATTGGATCAAAGAATTATCTGTTGTGGGGCTTTCTAGGAAGACTAGAGAGTGAGGCTTGTTTGGCGTTAAATTTTGAATTATGTGATCTGTCTATCTATAATGTATAATACCTGTTTGACCCTTCATGCAGATATTTTGGGACTTGCACTAAAACTCGGCAATATGAACTCCAATATGTACTTCAGGTTTTTCTTTTTCTCATTTCTTTTTTTATCCAAAGACATTGATTAAGCACCAGTAGAAAAGTTAGAAAATAAGATGCTAGAAATGAATATAACACCCACATGTTAAATAAACAGAGCATCTATAATAAATAGGATGCAAGGAATTCCATAGCTTTTAGTTCTGGTTGAACTTGTGGCTTGAAGGAAGCAAAATCAATCAATGATGTTGTAGTGTCATTGATTTATGCATGGTTCAAAGTACAAATTTGATACAATATGGTCACTTTGGAAGATGAATATGTTAGTCTAGCTTTCTCGAATGTCTCCTTATTTTTATTTTCTTTTGTTAATGATGATTTCTTTGTGCATCTTTTATAATAGTGGTTTTAAAAGAAATGTAAAGTGATTCTCTTAATTGTTTATAAGTGGCATCACATTAAGGTTCCATATTTGTGTGCACTTTTGTCTTTGTAGGATAAAGGTATTCTTCTGACAACTTATGATATTGTGCGCAACAACTCAAGGTCTCTAAGGGGGGACAATTACTTTATTGATGAGAGTAGTGACAATGATGCCACATGGGATTATATGATTCTTGATGAGGTAGATATTATTATGCTATTTATAGGTTTAGAAGTTCACTAACTTTTATGAGTTAGTTATTGTTTTACACCCAGAAATGCATTTCTTTTCTGGATTTTCATAATTATAAAGTTTATTGTATTGGTTTATATCTGCAGTAAATATCTTGTGTGTCTGGTGTTGTTTGATTTATCTCGTTCTTTCCTACTCTCTTTTCATTCTGGGTGAATAAATTTATAGTACAAACAACTGGATAGCTGATGAGCATTGAAATTCATTTGAACCAATCGAAGTTCTATTCTGGATGATCACTTGTCAACTGCTCTTGGAATGCAGTAAGACCGCCCATTGGAAACATGATGCAGCTGTATGAAAATAGCAATTGTATGCTCTGTTGTCTTTGTTTTTCAAGAGAAGCTGATTAGAGTTTTATCTTTTATTAAGAGTAGGGTTGTAGCTGGTTTTGGTGATATTGTTGGCCTTTTAGTTGATAAATTGTTGTACTAGATGTCCTACTATTGGCAATTCTTCTAGCTTTTGTTATCTTTTATTTTATCTTCTTTCCCAAGTGTGGCTTTGGAGGCCTATTGTACATTTAAGTCTACTCTTCTACTGAATTTTGGTTTTTGATGTTGCTACTATAGATTTTACAGTTTGTCTTACCTAGAAAGATAGAAAACTTGGTTTTGGTCATTTTTGCTGACTTTACTAATAGCTTTCAGCATATCATTTTCTAGAAAAGAAAGGTTTATTTCTTGTTCATCTGCTTATTAATTTACTAGACCTAGATAATAGAAATACTGGCAACTGATATGGTATATGTTTTAGGCCCTTTCAAGGGTGTTCGCCGTTTGGAGTCTTTTCAGATTTCTTTTTGCATAATATTTTCTCACACAAACTCACAAATAGATGGATTCCTTTAAATACGTATTTCCTGCCTTGGGGGCAAAAAAATATTGGCTTGCCAAAATATACTCTTCCACCTATTGCTTTTGAGCAGAAGTTACTCTTTTTGGAGACGAGGATTTCATTTGTATGTTATAATGACTCTGCTTTTTGTTTGATTGACTTATTCACCAACATAGGGCCATCTCATAAAAAATCCAAATACACAGAGGGCCAAAAGTTTGCTTGAGATACCAAGTGCTCATCGTATAATTATTAGTGGTACACCAATTCAAAACAACCTTAAGGTATCATCTTTAGCCCTTTTTTTTTTTCAGTGCATCTGACACAAACTTGATAAATGATATTGTTTTTGGTTCTTGCTTCCTACTACTTTAAAATAGGAATTGTGGGCCTTATTCAACTTCTGTTGCCCAGAGTTATTGGGTGACAATAAATGGTAATTACTTTCTTCAAGCTTGCTTTGGCATTACTTGAGTTTGTGCTTTTTGTGTCCTGAAGCTATGACAATTTTCAGGTTTAAGGAAAAATACGAGATTCCTATACTGAAAGGAAATGACAAGCATGCTTCTGATAGGGAAAAGCGTATTAGTTCAGCAGTTGCAAAGGTGATGGTTTTATATGTTGTATTATCTCATTAGAATCATCATCAATTGGAAGCTTTATATGTACTCACACTTTGTGATAAACATAGAAAGTAGTACATGGTGAGCCTTATATGACCTCTGTTTATTTAAAAATTTATTTAATTTTTATGTGGTGGTAATCTAGATTGCAATGGAAGGCATTTCAGTACTTAATTTTCTGACCATTAGTTTAATTTTGGCACACTTAGTCATGGCTAATAACCTTAATTTTATTTCTAAAGAATCGTATGAATCTACAACTGCAAGCTCTAGGTTTTGAGAGTTTATTGTTTCCTATAAGGTGCTTATGTAATCACTAAGCTCATATTAATGTAAGAACATTAGAACTCATAAATGGACTTATTTTATATTAATGCTCAGGTTTTTGGTGAATTTGCAATGTCCATAATTGCATAAAAGCTAAAGTTTATTAAAGATGTGATTGCAAATTTGGAAGTCATTTTTTTTCTTAGTATTGATATATCATCATGTGTTTTATACTCGTGCATTAGTCTTATTTTGAAGTGCTTCATTTTTATATTAATATTAGGCCTTTTAAATGTTCAACTTTTCTCTATTCATGTTTTCACTTTTTTATGCTGTTAGATTTCACAAGTACTAGAAAAATGATAACTTATATCTTTTTTGCTTGTTAATCAGGAGCTACGAGAACGTATTCAACCTTATTTCTTGCGTCGCTTAAAGACTGAGGTGTTCCATGAAGATGATGCCACAAAAAGTGCCACACTTTCCAAGAAGAGTGAGATCATTGTGTGGCTAAGACTGACTAATTGTCAGGTTCAAGTTGCTATACTATTTTTATTTTTGATTGCATATTCCTCTGTAATTTTATTAAAACTATTTTGTTACTCTCATTGTTCCTCAATTCTCTTATGCAGCGGCAACTCTATGAAGCCTTTTTGAATAGTGAGCTGGTTCTTTCTGCTTTTGATGGATCGCCATTGGCTGCACTTACGGTATGTTTATTTCATTCTCGACTTTCTCTTTGTCTATTGGTTGCTCCCTTTTTGTGTTCTTATAATAGAATTATTCATATATTCAGTAAGGAATAGATATTTTCTTTTGCATTATTCACTCTTTTTTATGTGTCTTTTGGTTTTCATATTTTACAAATAACCTTATGGAGATTTGATTCTTTTGATTTTCGGCATTATTGTGGAGGTTTAAATCTCTTTTTTTTTTTTGGCATTTTAGGTGTTATTCTTAATTAGATAGTTAATTTTAACTGAGCACTCAGCAAATTATTGAGATTTACATTTGGATCTCTCATTTTAACTACAGAAAAGTAGTAAGGAAGAAACTCGGTTTTTTAAATATGAAATTGGTTTTCTTAACAAAATAATTGATCTCTTTTCTTTTTGCTTGAAGGGAGGGGGATGTAAAGCTACCTTTGATATTATTATTTCTTTGTGCAAGAGAATGTTTACATCTCTGATTCATTTGCAGAGTAAGTGCATAAAAAAATGTAGTAAGATGTCTGCTATAGTTTGCTTTGAAAGATGTATTCAGTGTAAGGGTATTGATGCCCAGCAACAAAAAATGTGTGATCTCTATAATGATGTGAACCCTATAGGGTACCTCTTAAACGTCTCATATATCTGTTGGAGAGGTTCTTTGGTGAAAAGTAATTGGTTTGATTGATGCTTCACATGGAAACAGAATATGATACATTTTCCATATTGAACAGGTTGTGATAGCTTCAATATTTTTATGTTATCACCCACATACTCATATTATGATTAGCAAGAATCCTTTTTTCTGGTATACTTAATTTTTGGTGGTTTTCTGTGGTCTTTTGTGAAGTCTTTTTTTGTATTTTTTTCCTATATGTTTTGTTATTTTAAAAGCCTTGTCTTCTCTTTTTGCTGTATTAGGAATTGTGATAGGATGTTGCTTAAGCCTATGCACAGTTTTATTTTATGCTGTTTTAATTTCTTGGTTGCCTGAATCTTTTTACAAGATAATAAAAGTTTGCCTTTTTCTTTGAGGCAGATTCTCAAGAAAATATGTGATCACCCACTTCTCTTGACAAAGAGAGCAGCTGAAGATGTACTTGATGGGATGGATTCAATGCTAAACCCTGAAGATGCTCGTGTGGCAGAAAAATTGGCAATGTATATTGCTGATGCTGCCGAGGAAGATGACTTCCAAGAGCAGCATGACAATGTCTCATGCAAAATATCTTTTATCTTATCCTTATTGGTTAGGAATTCTGCAAACTTATATGTTGATGGTTTGGATGTTTTATGTGATAGGTTAAGTGTAATTTGTTTGACGTTCTTTTGCAGGATAAATTAGTTCCAGAGGGTCATAATGTTCTTATTTTCTCACAAACTCGCAAAATGCTTAATCTTATTCAGGTTAGTTCTAACCTATGATTCCCAGCTTATGATGCCCTTCCAAGCAATATGATATTTGGTCTTCTCACTTTCTAAGTAATTCATATAAAGTAGTTGATACATTATAGTTTGGTCATATTGGAAGTTTTAAATATTTATATTATTTAAATATGAAAGCGAAATTAAATTTGATATTTTAGATGCGCCTTAATATTTGAATGCAAATCTCATTATTAAATGACTACTTATTGAAGACACATGCCTACTTACAAGTTCAAGAGGTAGGTCATTTCTAAGTCTGTCTAGGTGCTTATCTATATAGGCTTTTGGCTTGCTTTCTTTTCAGCCAATACTGTTTGCACTTTCTAGTTAAAAGTTAGGTTTTGTTATTTGAATACATTGAAATCTTCTATGAATGAGATGTTTGTCAAATATTTGTTTGGCTGGCCCATTAATGATGGATTTTTCCAAATATGCTCCACATGACGTTTTGACACTTATCTGCCATATGCAAAGACAGGCTAAGTGGTGTGAAAGCTAGTGACAGAGTGATGATAGTTAATATGATTTTTTTTCACCAATTACACCTTGAATATACTTCCACTGTGGTGTAATTTTGATGGATTCATCTATGATCTACAGTGTTTTGTGTAAGGCTTTTCATGAACCTAATTTGTGCTTGACACTTTGGTTGTTCGTAGGAATCTATAGTATCCAATGGTTACAAGTTCTTACGCATTGATGGTACTACAAAAGCTAGTGACAGAGTGAAGATCGTTAATGTAAGTTTTCTGCTGAGTCGTAGGGATAAGAATTGATGGTTTTTGTGTCAAAGCTTTATCACATGATATTCATTTTTTTTTTTTAATTTCAGGAGTTCCAAGAAGGTGATGTGGCTCCTATATTTCTTCTGACATCTCAAGTTGGTGGTCTTGGTCTTACACTTACTAAAGCAGACCGTGTGATTGTGGTGGATCCTGCTTGGAATCCAAGGTGCCTTATGCTTCACTTCTTGTTCATACTTGCTAATTTATTACTTATGGTTGACTGAATCTCAACAGTTACAAAAGGCTTTAAAATGTGTTTATGTAGTCCTTATATATATTTTTTTCTTGATTCTATTGACATAACTATAAAACAGAAAATATATATCAACAATAATTTATATGGAATCTTGGAGTTAAGCCGGTTTAATAATTGTGAGACTCAAGTTTTTGATGTATTGTTTTTTCTTTAGCTATAATTTAAATTATATAAGTACCTTATATTATAAAAATCATATAATTAATAATGAAAGTACTAAGTGAAGTTGTCATTTGATTGTGAATTAATAAGAAAAAAGATTTAATTAGTTTTTATTCGAATTTGATCCAATTAACATTGTAATAAAATATAAGTTTATTCACTGTCTATCCTGTCAAGTCTGATGCTGTATCAATCATGAGAAAATATGATATATTATTCAATTCCAACCAATTACCTGGATTCAAAATCAGTCTACATGAAGCAACATCTCTTAGATAACCACTGCCAACTGCTATGTTGATGATGTATTTGTGGCAGTGATATTGGTGAATAATGTCAAAAAAGTGTCACATATTTATAGCTTATTCTTGCCCGTTCTTATTATGTTCCCCCTGGATGATATTTTTAATAATTAAATTTTACCTCTGCAGTACTGATAATCAAAGTGTTGATCGTGCTTATCGAATCGGGCAAAAAAAAGATGTTTTTGTGTACAGATTAATGACCTGTGGAACCGTTGAAGAAAAGATATACAGAAAGCAGGTCAGAGATTTATTTCCTTTCTTTGTTTGGTTATAGATGGATGGAAACACTACATTTTAGTGGCCTCTTTTTTGTAATCCAGTGAGCTCTGGAAACTATCCCAAAGCAAAGGTTTTAATGTGTTGCAAATAAGTTGTAAATCTACATAAACCTAAAGTTGTCTGTAATCATTGCAAAGTAGTTGAATGAAATATAGAATACTGTCAGCAGTCACAGGATTGGGGAACCTTGAATAATTTACTTGGATAAAATTTTACAATGTATTAGAGAGTAATATGAATTTTTGGAGTAAAATTTTTATGGATGCATGACTCATGCCAGTTGTCTTATGATGTAGCCTTTATTCAGTTCTCTGGTACTGGATAACCAAAAGTTTTTTCTCTTTGCATACTTTATGAATGTTTCTCTAGTACTTAATTATGACTATTTATGAGTATAGTGGCATCATCTTGACTGCTTAAAATTTGTGATTAGATATACAAGGGAGGGTTGTTTAAAACTGCAACTGAGCACAAAGAACAGATTCGGTATTTTAGCCAGCAGGTATATGCCTGAAAAGATGAAATTTGTTGCTTCACTGACATGAATTTAAGTTCTGCATGATGAGTGATGCTCCATACTTGTTTTTCTTAAAATTTTCAGGATCTTCAGGAGCTTTTCAGCCTTCCTAAACAGGGATTTGATATTTCTCTGACCCAGCAGCAATTACATGAAGAGCATGGCAACCAGCATAACATGTACTGACCTTACATGAGCATTTATATTCCGTAAAATGTCATTCGTTGGTTGCATTTGATTTTTCTTTTTACCTCTTCTTGATTGGCTAAACTGTGATTTGCTTTTCTTCTTTTTATTTTTTAATACTTGACTTGGTAAATAGAAATATAAATTTATGTGGTAATGGTGCTGTAAGTATTGTGTGGAATTTTAACCTTCTTCTCTTTGTGTTGCTTACTGGCAAGTAGAAGGAGCTGTGCTTTTATATTAACTCTGATTCCCTCCCCCTCTAAATTGGCATACTTGGATGTGGTTTATAGATTAGTTCGATATTTTGTTATAGTTAATTTCTTCTTTAATTTTATGCATTCTTGGACCACAAGGGCCAATGTCATTTAATCCCAATAAAGAATATTGTGATATTGTTTGCTAGAAAAAGCCTTTTGCATTATGTATACATAGATGAATGTTAATGTTGAGTTTGACAGTTTTACATTCATTTTGTCTGCGTATACATTTGCTTTTTCTTCTTTTGTATTAATTTCTTAATAATTGCTTTTAATAGGGATGAATCCTTGGAAGCCCACATAGAGTTCCTGGAAACTCTAGGTATTGGTGGAGTTAGTCACCACAGTTTACTTTTCTCCAAGACAGCCCCAGTGCAAGTAGTGCAGGAAGATGAGGAAGAATTAAGGTGAAAATCGTCATATATATCGTTTCCTCCTTTTGAGTGCCAATAGAGTATTGTTGTAATGATACAACTAGCGGAAACCAGATTCTAAATTTAGTTGTCCGGCTTCTTTTAAAGAGATTGAAAGCCATTATTTTTGCAAATATTTCACTGGTGTTTGAAGGAAATAATCTTATGATTGCAAGCTAAAATTTGTATCTGTGTGTGCGTTAAACCCTTTTTCTTAGCCTTTCTAAATTAATGCTTTCTTACTTTGGGTGCAGGAAAAAGAGCTCCACATTTGTAGGGAATTCATCGTCTAGCTATTCGGTTGAACGTAATGTTGATGGGTATGGTTTAATGATCTTATACATTTATTTAATTAAAAAAAAACCAAAATTAATTGTAGTTTTCATGTTTTAAATGGCATGTTGCCAGTAACAGCTTAACACTTTTTACAGGGCCGAGTATGCTTTCAAACCAAAAGATATAAAGCAGCTGAACAAGAAAAACTCTTTCCCTTCTCCTGAGAGTCTATCTAAATTGAGGGAGTCTGAAATCAAAGAAAGAATTAATCGGCTGTCTCAACTTTTTGCTAATAAGGTAAGTTTCTGGTTTAACTAGTGCAATAATTAGAATGTCCTGTTGGTGGAATCACAATGGGATTGGATTGGAATGTTGTACCCCAGTTAAGATCGGGTTGGTGGTTTGCAACAACAATAAAAAACAATTATTACTATTACATCTGTGCTATTCACGCTTCTGGAAATGTTTTTACGGTCTTAAAGCTTTTGTGGAGGAACATCCTTTTATCTCCTTGGATGAATCTCAATCAATCCTACAAGAAACTCTTTTTAGTTTATTACTATTGTTGTTCTTGGCCATCTTGAGGGTTCGAGCCTCAAAATTTGTAATGTTTCTGATATGCAATTTTTCTGGAACATTTGACAGGGTACAGTTTTACCAGATAAGGGAGCGAAACTGCAGAAGCAGATTGCTGAGCTGAACTTGGAGCTCAAGAAGATGAGGATGGAGGAAAGATCCGAGCCCGGAGTCATTGATCTGGATGAGCTAACGGGTAATTTCACAAGAGCTCTGAATGTAGAGAACCATTTGTGCTAAACAAGTTATGCTTGTGGAAAGGTGATAAATAGATATTTGTTTTGGTAGACTTAGAATTTGGATTTGTCTACCAAACAATGCTGTTTTAAATGACAATGCTTTCATTATTGAAATGAATCCAAATTCAAATCACAAAAGAAAGCAAATGTTGTATGTATAATCCACTCAATGACAATGCTAGTATGAAGGTTTTGCAATGAAAGACAGCAATGGGAATCCATTTAAACTCTCGGTATTAGCGTTTTGCTATCGTGAAGTACGAGGGCTGACATAATCAGACATTGGTGTTAGCTCTTCAGGCAAACACTGAACCTCGCGAGAATATTTCCGACGCCCCGGTGCACTAACAAACATTGCATGGCCATGTAATTGGCAGCTAATTGTCACCACTCACCATCACCTATGGGATCGATGTCCAGCCTATCAAATATATTACATGTTTTCCATTGCTACGAGTCCTTGTCACGACGCCACCCTAACATTTTATAAACTCCTCCAGGTAATAAACAATGGAATTCTAATTCATTCTTTTGTAAAATAAAAAAAATAAAAATCTCGGTCACGAAAATACAATCACTTTCATCTTAAATATAGATTCCCAATAAATTATTCTAAAATTTGATTCAAGTATGCAAATCAACAAAAGCATAACAAAATGCAAGAAGAAAATATTGTTTACCTAATAGAGATGCTAAAATGGAATGCCCAATTAATTAGAATGATTCGTCGCAAAAACAACTCACTCCTTGGGACTATTAACAAATGGAACAAGAAGTCCCGGTTTGTAAAGTGCAAGCCCAGACCCAGATAAAAAGCCCGAGTAAAAAACTATCCCCCGTTTGTTTAACTTTTCAAACCCCATCCTATCCTACTATCCTATTCAGTCCAATGAAATACATATTTATTTTAATACTGACTATTTAATTCAAAATCCAATGCTATTCTATTCAACTCAAAACATTTAACAATCATTTTTTTCAATATAAGTTTATAAATTAACAAAAACACCTCTATCTACCCAACTATTGTCGGCAGTCGACCACCACTGTCGGACGATGGTTGGAAGTCATTGCATGGATCTAGCCATTGATGACGGCCAAATCTTGGCCGTAGATTTGGCAATTTCCTGTCAGATCCACAGTGGATTTGGCCAAAAAAGACCATATCGGTGCATGACTGGTCGGATCCAACCAGTCGTGCACTGTTTCGGTGATTGTTGGCTGTCGTTCGATGGTGGTGGCTTACGGCCATTGGTCATCTTGGATGGTTGGAGTGCTTTAGTTAATTTTTAAACTTTTATTGTGGGGGTTTTTAGCTAAATTAACAAATGTAAGAGGTTAAGGAAATCTAAAATAATAATATTAAAATAGAAGGACAATTTAGTAATATATATAACATACTCACCAATTTATTCATCTCAATCAAACATATCAATATAACATACCCTTCAATTTATTTCAACTTAACCAAACACATCTTCTTAAATATTCTCAGTAATCTTAAAAGTAATCTATATTCCTATTAATATAACATTTTTAGTAATATAATATTCTCTTAACGAAATGCACCTTAAATAAAATATCAAGTTACCAAGGCATTTTGGTAAACAAACCATGCTATTCACATAAGTTTCTACAGGAAACGCTCCCTCTAACCTTATAAGGGTAGTTAAAACATGATATTATTGATTATCGTTATAAGAGTAGTTGTGAGGTATTTCACCATTACCCAATCTCACATTAGAAAGATCAAAGATAACTTTTTCCGAGGCTCTTTATTAACGAGAGTGTTACATGGATGTAGTGACAAGCAAACTAACTCAAACATAATTCCAAAAATTGGTCTCAAGGAATGGTGCACTACTAGTAGGACGAGATTGACGGTTTCAAAATAACAATTCATTGTTTTGTTCCCTTAACAAAATATTAATTTAGAATATTTCTTGAAGTTGTCTTCTTGGCATTGTTGCTAAAAGAGCATATTAGAATGATGAAAATTGGAGAATGTTTTTTCTAACATGCTATCTTTAGTGATTTTTTCTCCTCACAACCTCAATGTAGATACAATCTTAAATAAGGTAAAGTTGTACTCACTAATTGTTATATAATATTGAAGATGCAAGTGAGTCCAGTCATACAAAACATGCTATATTCAGTGATTTTTTTATGGTCAAATCTCTTTTTCAAATTTTCTCACAATTCAAGTGGATCTTTGATATCCACTTATTCTACTCTTAAACCCTCATTTATGTGATGACAGAGGAAAATTGTTGCGTTTTGTTCGATCCTGTTGGGATTCCTTATTTCCTTCCTTGATTACATTACAAAGGTTCATGGATTTTAGATTTACTAACCTACCATTTTATCTCTCTCTTTTATTTATATTTTTTTAAATGTTCCTCCTAATTAGTAAAACACACTAAATAATTAAGGTTAGATTTCATTAAGGTAATTAACTATGCAAGGGAGATTAAATTTTAACCATTCGAAATGTATTGACTAAATAATACACATTTTAATAATTGGTTTCTTGAATATGTCATCTTCATTTTTTTTTTTTTTTTTTTTTTTATAAAAAAACAAATTTCTATCATTTAGATTTTGAATACATATTGTAATAAGACATAACTTAAAACCTGTAATATATGAGACAAAATGTTTAATGAGTTACTGTAAAACTTATTAGCTAAAGAAACTTTTTATATTTGAACATAAAATATATTCCGCTTACCCCAGGATTAGAAATTTGGCTCCGCCCCTGTTTATAAAGGCAATCAAGAGTACATGAGACAAATAATGAAGAGATTCTTTTAGTAACACTTGTTAACAACAATTAATGACCCTAAAAAAGGAGTTTAATGGATAAATATTATACTTATTACGAAAAGAGATTGTTTGTGGCCATGTGCATGATAAAGGATCCCAATTTTTTTAAGTATGAAATCACTCTATATAAATATAGTTTACGACATGCTCTAAATTAAATTATTAGATATGCATTTCCATTTCTATTTTCAACGACGCTGGTGACTTAGCTGGGCTTAGATTTCGGGATGCAAGAAATTGGTATTTTATAAATATCATACTCAAATTTTCTTATATATCCCTATTTTTTTTTTAATAAAAATTAAATTTCTTAAATTAAATTTTTCTAAACAAATCAAAATAAGTTCAACTTATCTTGCAAAAACTATCACCCTTCTAGTCATCTCAAGAAATTAAAGTTTGAGAGATTAAGTTGAATGGTGAACCTATAAAATAGAGTTAAAACAATAGTCTTTCATTTGCTTTAGCTTGAATACAAAAATTTTATGTGAATTCTTATTGATAAATGAACATGAAAAAGCATGTTCATTTTTTACACTAAAAAAGGCCAAAAAAGTTGCCAAGTTTAAGGATAGAGGCTAGGGCAAGGGACTTTCAACTATAGCCAGCAAACATGTTCATGTCATTATTCCTCTTGACATATGAATAATAATGCTACCTATACATATTGATATAACAACCCTACATATATGACATATCATTTACCGTAATTGTTAAGTTTATCTTTAATTCAAATAAACCAATCTCATTAAAACACGTTAGTTTGTATAAATGCGCTTATATGAAAAATTTGTATATATAGTATTATTCTTGACATATATATAATCCACTCTGACCCTAGCCCCAACTAAGGATTGGCACGGGCTGAGGCGGGGCCAGGACAGGCCTAGCCTGTGGGCCCAAGAGGATTACTTGAGCTCGGCCTATCCCCATGACGAGGATTTTGGGGAATCCCCAGGCCCAGCTTGTAGGGATGTGGTTACTCCCATCCTCGGCCCGACACGCCCGAATTCATTTATAGTCAACCAAATTATATTAAATTCTGCATAGTATAATTTTATTTTCTTTAGGAAATTTAAAACAAATTTGTAATTTTGTTTCTATTACGAATTGAACTACATTCTTCCTAGCTTTGAGATGTATTATAGTTTTAGTGAAATTTAATTATCAATCATGGGTCCAATAATTAAAAGTTTATATGCCCCGTCATTTTATTTATTAATATTAATATTTAAACTATACTCTATACATATCAGTTATACACGTTCCAGGCTTCCACAAATTAAAATTCAAATCTTTAAATTCATAATAAATCTCATAGTCATTGTAATGCATCATGCTCTACCAGATATATTATATATACAAACAAATAATGAATTAATTAGAGCTAGTTATTTTTATTGGAAATTAAAAAAAAAGAAAAGGAAATTACAATTAAACTTTTGGATCATGCAATTGTTAGGTTGAAATATTTAGCGTGTAGAATGTGGCAATAATAAATTAATTCCTTATAATTAAACCAGAATTTATTTGCTTATGTGGAAAATTCTTGGCCATAGCTTTGACCATATTATTTATACTACTTACTAGCCAAAATAAGTTCAATTAGTCGGAAATTATGAGTTAATAAAAAATAGAAAATTGCAATTAGTGTGGCGTTGAAGCCCATGCAGATACAATTGACAATTTAAATATCTTAAATTATAATTATATATATAGAGCCCGTCCTCAAGGTCGGGGAATGTCATTGGGCCCGAGGGCCCAAGCCTCGACTATTTCGAGGAATCCTTGCCCATTCGGGTCGGGTCGGGTTGGATCTCTGACAGGGCGGGCCAAATGCTCATCCCTAGCCCCAACCCCAAATTTCCACCCACCAACCTTGACCCTGTACCCAAAAATCCTCGAATATATATATATATATATATTTTTTTTGAAATAAAACATTAACTTAAAAACATAGTTATATTTAATTACATATGTTGTATATTATATAATTTTATCATGGATAAGAATGGCCAAACAAGCCAAGTTTTTGTGAGTTTTCACTTTCATCTACCTCAACCTTCGTCCTTGGTTTTAAGGGTATAATTTTCCTAATTTCTATCTCTAAACCAAACATTTTATGAGGAATTTTCATCTTATAGGACCAAGTTTTTCTAGGTAACCGACCTTGTTGAGTCTTTCTGTCATCCCTGCATGAACCATATATTGGCCAACAGCCGTGTTGTTTACCCATTGATAAATAGAGTAAACGATTTTACACTTTCCCACCCGCCAAGTTTTATAATGACATTTTCCCACCCACTGTTATTATTTGTCCGTTAAATTTAACTGCAGAAGGATAGAATGATAATTTCAAAAAATAGTTAAAGGATAATTATGGC